CCGCCCCCCACAGTGTGTGCCGGCGGCAGCACTGGCACTGTGGCCAGGAGGAGTGCGCGGGGACCTGCGTGGCTACGGGGGACCCCCACTACGTCACCTTCGACGGGCGAGCCTTCTCCTTCCCGGGGGACTGCGAGTACCTGCTGGCACGTGAGACCGCCGGCCTCTTCGCCGTCACCGCCGAGAACGTCCCCTGCGGCACCAGCGGCGTCACCTGCACCAAGTCGGTGGTGGTGGTGATGGGCAACACTGTGGTGCACATGCTGCGGGGTGAGGGGACGGGGGGCTGCGGGGACAGGGGGCCCACAGGGACGGGGACGTGCCAGGGGTCACCACCTCTGACAGCCCGGCCTGTCCTGGCAGGGAGGGACGTGACGGTGAACGGGGTCTCGGTTCGACCCCCCAAAGTCTACAGCGGGACCGGGCTGACGCTGGAGCGCGCAGGCCTCTTCCTCCTCCTCCTCTCCCGCTTGGGGCTGGCGGTGCTCTGGGACGGAGGTGAGACCCGCCGGGAGGGCTCGGGGGGGTCCCCGGGCCAGCTGTGCTGTGGGGGGCCGCCGGTGCCAAGCGCCGTGCCGTGCTGTCCCAGGCACGCGGGTGTACGTCCAGCTGGAGCCGCAGCACCGGGGCCGCGTGGCCGGGCTCTGCGGCAACTTCGACGGCGACGCCGAGAACGATTTCGCCAGCCGGCAAGGGGTGCTGGAGCCCACCGCCGACCTCTTCGGCAACTCCTGGCGCCTCAGCCTGCTCTGCCCCGAGGTTGACAGCGCCGATGCTCGGCACCCCTGCACCGTACGGATGGGGACGGGGAACCGGGGCCGGCTGCGGGGACGGTGGCGGGAGGCAGGCTGGGGGGCAGCCCCGGCGTCCAACTGGCCGAGGGACGGCGTCTGATGGTGGCACCGGTCCGCAGGAGAGCCCCCACCGTGCACCATGGGCCCGCCGGCGCTGCAGCATCCTCCGGCAGCGGCTCTTTGCACCGTGCCATGACGCGGTGCCGTGCCAGCGCTTCTATGACTGGTGTGTCTTCGATGCCTGCGGGTAAGCGCGGGGCCGGCGGTGGGCAGGGGGTCCCCAAGGCGGGGCGAGGGGGGGTCCCGCCACCCCCACGCCACCAAACCTGGCGCCCGCCCGCCGCGCGTTGCTGGCAGCTGTGACTCCGGGGGGGAACGCGTGCGCAAGGGCCACGCCGCCTCCCCC